GATAAGTTTCTGAAAAAACTGTGGTACTGCGTTGTTTGTGGGCCTTACAAGATAATTTAGTTTTACTAACTGAGTTGATAATGTCTATTGGCCACCGTTAAGAGTTTCTAAAGCTGACATTTAGCTCGTCAGCTCTTCGTCAGTAAATTCGTTCCGACGAATGGATAATTCTGTAAACGTCATCTTTAGAGATACCTTACAGTGGCCAATTTACATTATCAACTCAGTTGATATAACCAAGTTCTAATGTGAGGTGTATCCTGATAAAAGTGACTCCCAAAGGAGACTGAGAACGATATCTCGCGTACAATACAACTTACCCATGAGGTTTATGAGGGTTGTAAATGTACCCGTCGCCATATTGGTCCAAAATTGCCTGCGATTTGTTCAGTATTTCTGCAGTCACGTTGAGACTCGTGGTTGCGTTGTGATCCAAGCTGGTGTAGTACACAGCGTCTTTATAGAACTGGCATTCCCTCACTGAAGTTGTGCCGGGGTATTTGTTCGGAGGATAGAAAACCGAACCCAAGAAAACCCAGGCAGTTAATGCACACCCAGAGAAAACACCGGCGTAGGCTCCCTGTAGGAATATTCGAAGAGTTATTAACTTATGTCACGTATCTATGAAAGGAACTTTACACGCCACGATATAATGACAACTTTGAGTCATATTACTTGTCGTAGAAATATGCCTTGAAAATACTAAATGGAGCTAATGGAGTGAGTATGGTAAACCAAGGTTGAAAATGGAAAACTTAAAATTTTCGACAGGCGAACAAACTGTGGCGTGACGGCGAAAATATATTTGTATTTTCATAACTTAATTATTGATTTTAGGACAGTGTCAGTGCGAACTCCCCCCCCCCCCTTTTCTCATCGTCCTTGTCATATATTTAGGTTTCCTCACTAATTTTCCGGGGGAGCGTTCGGGCGGAAACGGACACATAATCAGCATCTAGATATGGAGATAATTTTATTGGTAGTGTTATTTTTTAGTGTGTTTTCTCACCTTTGAATTTGCACGGCGTACAAACATTCCCAGCAGAAAAATACCAAGTAATGGACCACCGCAAATTCCAAAGATGCTGTAGGCGAGCTGATAAAACGAGTCAATATAAAACACATTTCAGATCACCCATTTCTATTAAGCGCGTATAATCTCGTTCATTTTTTCACTTACTCATAGATACTAGTAATTCATACCAATAGCTCACAGTTTACTTATCTACCCAGAGCTTTAGCTCATACATCGGGGAAAACCGGCAATGCAGTGTCTAGCGCTGGAAAAGAGTTTGGCTAAGTGGATCCCTCGAATTCGTGAGTTGTGGCAAACAATACAGTAGAGCGTAGATTGACAATCCTTCCCCCATTCCCCCACGTCAGCATAAATTGAGTGTACTAAGCGAAGAACATCTTGTACTTACCTGTAGAACCATAGTGCCCACGTACTTGACAATGAATGCTCCAGCGATAACAATAACACCAAAGACAACCGCTTGAGAAATAAATAGAATTCAAAATTAGGAAACTACCTAGATTGTCAATAAAATAACAAAACATACAATCAAAGGCAACTGTACCATGAAAATAGGGATTTTGCCGAGTCAAAGGGTAATTATCTCCATTTAAATCTAGCTTTGTTCAGGTTGTCACCTTTATGGATGAATTAGGAATTGTGAATCGAAAGTAGTCCTGTACTCTGTGACTGGTGAAGAAGACTCACGCCTCTGTCACATCAAATAATCAAATGTAACTTGGTTACTCGCATTTTTCCGCTTGTGTCCTTTACAAGTTATCACTTTGAATTCTGATTGGCCCCTCATCATACATCGCATTCCCTTCGTTCTGATTGGCCGTTAGTGATTACTTTTATTTACATGGTACTCGAGGTTGGTGCTGATTGCCGGTGCAGATATATACAAAGTGTATACGAGGCTCAGTTTTGCCGAGATTGGTAGGTTATATTCCCCCTATCACACCCCAGAATGACCAAGGAGGAATTTCTCCTCACAATCACAATGTCCATATAATCTTTTGGTGATGAGAAGAAAGAAATACATCAAATGAAGAATCACCAGCACTGGATATTTAACAATTTCTACTAAAGGTAGAAGAGGGTCTCGATAAAGTGATGGCTTTTAAAACCAAACGGTTAAATTTGGCCATTTTACGGCCAACGCTCGACCTAAAAATTACACATTATAGAAAGAAAACAATTTTTAACGGTTAACTTTTTAAACGACTAACGGGTAAAATTTGTCGATTTTTACGCCTGACGGCTACGTGTTTTGGCCGTTTTACGGCTAACGTTTACCCCACTGGGACCCTCCTAGGCGTATGAGAGATGTTTGGCAGACAGTGTAAAGAATTCATGTTTAGATCTTGGAAGTAAAAGGGGTGAGGTTACTTACCGATAATCTTGCAGAGTCTGGCGGCATCTGAGTCAGTTAGGTTCTTCATCCTTTTCTTGATGATGTCTTCTAAAATCACTAATGACATGGCGTTCAGCGCAGAAGATCCGGTACTAAAGAAAAAGAAAGAAAATTATGGATACTTTGTCGTCCTTTAAATCTTTTTATACAAACAGAACTTGCATTCGCTTCTTTAAAGCACAACATGGTTTTCATTATCGTCCAGTTCCCACCTTAGAGCTCCTGCATAGAGACAAGCAGTAAACATTCCCGGCAACCCCTTCAAGTTGTGCAGTTTGTTGATCACAAAGTAGGGCAGCGTCTGTGATGAAAGAAAATTGTAACGGAAATTAAGGTGGAGAAGTTAAGGTTGCTGCAGGCTTAAGTGTATTCGGCGAACATGCCTGTGAAATTGGCGCTTAAAGTTTTCGGGTGCGAGTAATTTAGACCTGCATGCACGATCGAGAAGTCACGCGAGGACGAGGAAAGGTGCTCCCTTGAGCGTCTCTCTTCTCTTGCACACGTCTTTGTTACGCTCTTGGTGAGAGCCTGCCTCGCAGGCTAAAGGAAAGTAGAGGGACATTCCTTCTGGGCGTGCGAGTTATTCTCTCTCACGCGTTTTCAATGCCAGAGGTCTGCAATGATTGCCCACTTTAATACAAAACTGGAAAGTGAATGGCTCCTGTACAAGGAAAGGGCCAGGTCGGCCAGAACGAGATATGTCACTTGGCAGAATTGAACTGGTGTTAAGGTAGGACGGCCTCCAGCCTTCCTGTCTATTCACCTTGCCTTCTGTCTTTTTTTCTGTTTGTTTGTCTGTTGATCTCTCTGTCTCTGCTGCCTATTTACCTGTTTACCTGTCTGTTATTTAGTTAACTTATCAGCTCTATTCAGATTGTAACAAGACTGAAACTCAATGGCCGCTAGACCGCACCTTACTGAGTAGGGCACAAAACTACTTTGGGTACAGAGATGAAACGTTTCCAAAAATTCAGAGAATGTTAGGATGGTAATAAACCAAAGCTTTTACCTGGTCATTGCTGGTAATCTTCTTGTCTTTTATGAGATCACATCCTGAGTACACAGCAAAGATAACGAGTCCATCCAAGCAACACAGAGTGACGATCACAATGAGACCAGGAACGTTCATCCACACGGCCCTGAAACACGATAAATCAACAATAGAGTGGACATCACAGTCTGACACTTGGCTAAGAAGGAAGCCACAGATTACCAGAGTTAAGCCCTTTTTAGAAAATAGTCTGAGGACTCGTGCGTCTTGTTTGTCTTAATTCGGAAAAACAACAAGTAATTTCAGTAAAAGATAGCTTGGTTACCTCTTAGCGTCTTTCAAGGTTCTTATGGCAAGAAACCGCTGAACAGCAGTTTGGCTGACTGTCCACACAGGCATGGCTGTGAAAGCACCGCCGATGGTTAAAGTCCAAAATGTGTTTCGTACCTTGGGGTCTGGATTGAAACTGAAAATAGCGATGACCACATTAAAAAAAGAGAGACAGAAAGTATAATTATCGATCGCAGCTTTTAACCTCTTCCCCCTTTCCTCGAGAGATCTAAATTGGAATTTCTCGTTCAGATATTTATTTGCAGAAAGGTGATCCGCAGTACAAAAAATATCAATCAGAGGATAAAACTTGATTTGACACATGATTTTGTAAACAAGTAAAAAGTTATCTGATGATTAAAAAATTGAAAACTCATGAAGACAGTTTTTATCTTGAAATGCTAAAACGTTGTGGTCGTTTAATGATACTTACTTCAAGTTCTCATTGGTTCCTTCTAATATTGGTTTGTAATGACGCTTTTTTCTCAACACTTAGTAAAGAGGTGCTCTGAAATGAGACTCCCTCAAATGCCAGTAACACATCAGTCTACGCCTGGAAAATCCCTGGCCCCTGAAATAACTTATATCAGCAGAAATATGTGTCGATGGATCGGAAAGGCCAAACGATTCAGCACTAAAATGAAAGGTTTTTTTAAAAGTCTTCTTACTCGAAAAATGTGGTTCTGTTAAAATGTTCGTTAATCTCCCAAACTTTTGCCAATCCACCGACTTCGACGCTTCCAATGACCGCAACTGTGATGAGCCCTCCTACCATAACCGCTGACTGAAATACATCGGTCCACACCACGGCTTTCAATCCGCCCTAATAAAAAAAAAACCAAACAAACAAACAACACTAACCAAAAGAAAACAAACGTGTGTGTAATAAGGCGTTTTATTCACATGCACCTAGCAGATTCTTGGTTTTATGATGGATATGATGATGATGATATGTCCCTATTATTTACTTACCAGACTGGTGTAGAATGTACAAACCACCCCGGTAGTCAGGATAGAGGCCGTTAGTGGAATCCCAGCCACTGATTACAAAAATTGCACCATGGATTAGAAAGATGAACAAGAATATGAAAACTATTTCAAATACCCTACATTCACCACGTCGCAAACCTATTAATTAGATATTTATTATATCTCTGGGTTCAAATAGAGAGGAAAGATTCGTATTCAACTTGAATAAACTTTTGAATTAAGCGGGCCGTACAATGACATACAGCCCGCTAAATAACTGAGAGATTAGTTGTGGCGAGCTCTTACATAACTTGCGCAGATGTTTTTGAGGTAGGTGTTTTTAAGGACGGAAAGGGAAATTTCTAGTTCAGTGTAAAAACGCCACTTAAGTAAACGTGTTGTTACCTACCAGCCTCTAAAGCGAGTGAAGGTGCGTACAGGACAACAAACAAGTAAAGAGTCTGGAAAAAACAACATACGAAAAAGTTTAACTAGATCGCCATATTTACATCAGTGAAACTGCAAACAAGTACTTACGTATTCTAAAATGAAGAACACGCATCCCACCATTCGAACTCCAACACTAAAGCGTAGTTCAAGATACTGTTAGAAGGTAAAAGAAAAAAAAGTTTAGTCAGTTGTCGGTTTGAACACAAACCTTATTTGGATATACTTGGCTGCATTTGGAGTTACCCTGGCGCTAACAGAGGTAGGGGGAGGGGGGGGGGTGGTGTTTGTGTGGAAAAGAAAAAAATCAGAAAGAAGATTTAAGAAGCCAGTAAAGGATGACTGGTTTTAAAAAGGAAAGACGCTTTAATAGAAGATATTATATGTTGAACAAACTGCATTTAACCCTCTCCACCCTAAAATCAGAGTGCATATTCCCCATAATACTCTTTTAGTTACTGACGAGGAGAACACGCCTTTTTCTTGAAGAACCCATTTTAATGAGAAAGTTCAGGCTGAGATTAACCAAAATTGTAATAGCCAAGAACGACTTTATTTTGCCCATTTTTTGTGTAAGAAATATGAATTAAGGTAAAATAATTATATAACTGTAGTCAAAAAAGGACAAATAACTCAAATACTTCGGTACGGAAGTCGAAAAGGGACAATCCAAAAATATTTTGCAGATCCGTAAAAATATTCCGAATCTCACGGTATCTTTTAGAAAAATCGCTTTTGAAAAGTTTGTCAAATCAAGAAAACAATTTCAAATCCTGTTTAAATTCATAGATTCGCAAACAAATTTCATAAAAATCGCAAATAGTTTACAATCCGAGAATCTTTCCAAAATCCAGAAAATTTTCGCAAATCGAGAAAAATATTTTTTCACGTGACACTTGCGCCAGTAGTCTGCACTTTGTCACGATACAGCACATCGTGTTAGCGACATTTTTTGAGATTGATTTATTGAAACACTATAAAACACAACTTCAAGAAAATATTAAGAACGTTCTCAGGCTCAAATCGCAATAAAAATTAAGAACTTATTTATAAACAAAGAGTGCTTGTGGAGCAATCAGGAGATTCTTTGTTTTGTGACCATTTCCTTAGTTCTCGTGACCTTCATATTTGATTCGGCATTGATAGATACTGTAAAGAGAAATTGGGAGCTAGTCACCCGTAAGCGTTTACGCGTTTTTGAAAGAATCGATTGCCTTCGTTCACGGGATGGGCTCAAAACTGCGATCAGCACTGACAGCTGCGTGACAACCTTACAGATCCACCTAAATAAACAACGTAACGTGATCATCCGGAACTGTAGACCATCTAACTGAAGTTTGATTTAAAACTTCATTTGTACACGTTCATTTTGTGGCCCAAAAATATTTTAGCATCACAACAACAGCACATTCATTGACCTTTGGCCTCTTACTTTCCCAAAAATAATTGTGTTACCTAGATCACACCATGCCAATTGTTGTTTTCGCCAACACGCTTTGGTGTTCGGCACAATCACAACACCATTACTGATAACCTACCCTCAATCAAAAAGGCAGTCTATTTATAAAATTAGAAAGAAAGATTTCATAAATGCCATTAATTTGAAACAATAACTATTCCTTGAATTTTACTCTTCGCTTTCCTTAGATAAACGTTCCTGGGCAATGCATCAGCGAGAGAGGAATTTTTACACTCAGCTGTCAACGCAATGATAGGTGCCGCCGAAGAGTAAACATTGACAAAGAAAAAGAATAGGAACTTGCAATCTTCAAAACATCCACTTTCTATTTTAAAAAAAAATGCAATATGAAAAAGGTAGTACATCGTTGCAGAGCTGTGTAAAAAATATTACGAACACACACACGACAATTTGCACCGATGCGCAGTGTCCAACTTAGTTGGAAAAATTTAATTAAGCGTATTGTATTTTGAACAGTTTATAATTTACACCCACCTCATTCGCACAAGTGATGTTCACTCTCCTAAACATGGGCACAAAAATGACAGCCACCGTGAAACAGATGATGAAGTAAGAGATTATAAGGACATAGTACTGTGCTCCGTAAGTGTAAATCTCGGATGGTACCCCTAACAGGGTGATCGCCGATAGATAGGACACCAGGAGAGATATCGCCACCGGCCAGTTCTTCATTTGGCGGTCTCCCAAAAGGTACTCAGCCGTTGTCTTCTGCTTTCCACCAGGGCCGCAGCCGTACCAAATCCCGATCAAGGCGGAGATCAGCATCATCACGGAGAAAACTACGTAGTCAACGATGCCAAACCGTTCGTCCGCCATCGTTGTTGATGTTTAAGCTTGTACTAAAACAAACAATAAACCGTGCGATGTAGTTTCCGATTTCTAAGAGAGATATGAGATCTGTAACGCAGCTGTAATTTTACTCTTTGCTCAGTGGTACGTGAAATGGATGACTGTAATTTTAGGATATATTAATCTTAAATACAAAAATACGCCATAAAGTGGCCCAGTGTGCAAAGTGACCTAGATATGCTGCAGGGATCTCGCACCGCCTACTAATATGGCACATTTAACAATGCTGTCACATTTTGTGAGGTCATGTCACCTCTCTATTCATAGTTCACCTGCATGGTAAGCGCACAAAGTACAAGCCAGCGGGGAGGGGTTAAAAATTTGAACCCGAACTTGTTCCTTTTCCCTCAGCACCTCGCCCCTCCTCTCTTGTCTCTGTAAGTTAGGCCGTTTCACGGCGTTTCTGCGCAGAAGTTGTCAGAGGATGGGAAACAAACGGGATTTAAATTGTGACGGTGTCACACTTTTTCGGGTATCCCCTTGTTTTGAATCCCCGTATATATGCGCAAACCATGCCAAGTCTAATTAATTATAGAACAATTTCTCCACAAACCACGCGTCTTCCCGATTAAAGATCATTTTCCTGTGGAGCCAAACGCTCTCAGATACACACGCTGCTGCTGGAACAAGTGGGAGAGCGTCGGTTTCCTTCCAGGGACTCCCCCCGTGAGTCCACCGATGAAATGAAAAGTTGTGAATAAAGAATTTCCCGCAGGATGAGAATCCCGCGTACCTTCGTGTCACGCAATCCCCATTCGTGCATACGTGCCCCCACTGCACATGCAGGAACAATTGTGTCGAATATCATTGTAAACGGAAGTAAGTTTTTCGGGAAAAATTACGTACCTAAAGCAAAACTTGCAGCAACATGTTCCCCAATTAAATTCGAAAGAAAGTTCAGAGGTATTAAACGTTTCATTCACTGGCATGCTTCACGACGACAATCAATTAACTATCGATCTCATTCTGGTGACTGCCAATCGTTAGTCTGTGGATATTATATTTCGACCGGGGCTAGTTAAAGTACAAATGAACCTACTTTTCCGCTATGTACAGTTTTGTTGATGTCATGGTTCCATGCTAATTTGAGGAAAGAAATTCCCTACTGTAAGTATTTCAGTCTAAGGTTTACAGCCACAACTATACGTAATTTCTCTCCCGAGTTCGAGGATATACATTTTTAACTCAACACACAACGGAGTGGTATATTTAAGCATAGTAGCCAAACACCCAGTGTTAATACTATTATAGCACGTAGCGACTGCGAACCTCTTTCTACCAACAGTGGTCACCCTCTTGGACTTAACACACGGGTGATCGCTTCTTTTGAATCTTTGCAGATGCCTTAAGAACTGTCCGTGGCCTAATTTGGTAGCTACTACATCGCGTAACATCCTTCCAAAGTTGTTCGTAGTCACGTGCGTGTTCTGGTCACGCAATGGCCTACTCTCGGCGGAGTTCTCGGTAAGGAGAGATCCTCCAATAACAAAAGTTAATCCCAAATGATTGACGATAAAAACGGCGAACAATATCTATAAAAAATTAATATAAGAACGATTAATCTTAGAACACTGGAATTACTCCTGAATTTCTGTTATGAGTATTCATATTGTTTAGGGCCGGGTCGTTCGAAAGGGAGTTAACGTTACTTTAAGATTAAAAGTTAAACTTTGCTTCATTTTCTCGTGTAGAAGAGCGTTTATAACCACCAAGGTTTTTCTTCGGTTTCACTTCATTATGACTTGAAACTAACAAGAAAAAAAGAATAAAGAAAAATCTAAACTATTATAATAATCTAAACTAATCACGCGTTACGTCAATCGTATTTTGAACTACCCGGCCCTGATGAAGCTGTCCTATTCCCAGCGTGGTACTCTGACCCTCAATGTTTTACTTGTTTTTCCTTCCTGTACTTTAAACAGTTCCTATTAGGTTTTAAGCACAACAGATAATTATGTTTACTTTTGTTGAAGCCAGCAGGGTTTGCTTAAAAGGAAGTTAAAAGTTTGAAATTAAGAATGAAGGAATTGAAGAGTTAGGACGAGTTCAAACAATTCATTTTTCATGAGAGGTTTCCGAAATGCTGACAAGAAAATTAAACCATGAACTTTATCAGTCCGTCAATTTGGTAGCAGCACATACTTCCTATGCATAATTCCCGTTACATTTGGCTTATAACATACCTGAATTAATTTAACCATGATAGTTTCCGAGTCAAAGGCTGGTTCACGATAGTTGCTGGCAAAAGTAGAGGAAAAAACTCTTTACTTAGCTGCACTGTTTCCTTGTTGACTGAAGATCATAGGGCCTCTCTAATGACTGCAAACTATGGTCGACTGTCAAGCTTTCTCTATTCAGCAGGAGTTGAACTTTTCAGATGCTTAGATCCTCTGAGACCCTGGTTTAAGGTTACCTCCCACCTTATTCTCAAGGCATCAATCAACTAACGGTTATCAGGCTTTTTCTATATTCTGATTGGTTGTCTAGATATCGGCATCTAAAGTTGGAGTAGCTAAAAATATGCAAGGCGTGTTGGGTAAATGGACGCCACGGGAAAAAATATTTCAAATATCAAAATTTCCCGGATTCGGGAATTTTTTTTTTGGAAACATTGGGTTGAATATTTAAATTCAGTTGAATCAAATGAAAATAAAATCGATTTTTTCGGCCTCTGAAGGTGGGAAGTAACCTTTAATAGGACTGCAGCAGCTGAAAGATTACGTAACGCTTACGAGTTCAGCATTGAAGGAAATCGTGATATACTGCACACCTTGTGCACAAACTTTTCACAACATACTCAGCTTTGCACAACAAAACATTACTTTGCTTGCCACCGTTGCTGAGATTTCATTTTAAGGTATTTAGGATTAACAGTTTAGGCAGGAGCAAACGCGAATTCTCCCTTAAAAAGTTTCAATCTCTCTCACGGAAATAGTGGTTGCAAGAGATATTTTGAACTCACGGCACAGAACGTGAGGTTGGAATAGTTTGATTTTCTTAATTCATTCCCGCGTTGCTTGCCACTTTTGCTGTAGCACTCAAAGGTTTGTTTGCTTCATGAAACCTTTTCCCTACGCTGAAACGATATTAACCTTGAAGTATAAATATTTTGCTGACAGGGGATGCTGGTTTAATCGAGCTCTCTAAACCACTTTAAACTTTTATTCATGCTGTGCTTAAATTTTGATAAAACCTTTGCTCCTGTGTATGTCTGAAATAAAGTGGCATTCGAATTTTTACATTTGACTTTCCAAATATAGGATGAAAAGAGCGAACGTAAAAAGTACACAAATTAAACACCTAATATTATACTTTTTCGTTTAAAGTTTTTTTGTAACATTTGTTATTGACAGATGCCGGTACATATGCATTTCACGTATGTTCTCGTAAAGATGCAACAAACTGATACTTTCATTTCAAAACAACCTCGCAGAAAAAAAGCTTCCTATTATTCTATGTATCTACAAAAGTGTTTTCTGTCAAGGAGAAATTCCCGCTTCAAAAGTTTTGTCTTTTGGCCGACGTAATGTGATATATATACCTTGTCCCAAGGTCATCGCTTTGTTGGCCGCCTACCTTCAGTCAGGCGTCCGGTGTGTTTAAATGTTAAAAGTAGTATATATGTAAAGCATTCTTAAATAGTTTTAATGTTTAGAGGTTTTTTTTCCTTTTACTTCAGCTTTTTACTGCAATAGTAGTTAATAAACAGATTTTTATTTTTAATTTGTTTTACTCAGTTTATATACCGGGACCAAGGTTAATTCCGCAGTTTTGAAACACGACTTCCGATTTAACTTTACCCGTGAATGAAAATTTCACAATTAAAGGTTGTGTTTCCATTTTCTATTCCTTTGAAGTTTCTCGGTCAAAAGAGCTTAGATCTACTCCCGTGTATGGAAAAGCTAGAGAGAAATAAAGATTTTCAATTGCCTTTCCATCTTAAAAACAAAACAAACAAAAAACTAACAGTTTAGTGACCCTGTTACAGAGAAGACTGAATCATCCAACAAAGAGTTGCAACGGTTGATTTTATAAATAATATTCCTGTTATATCCTGACTCATAACTGAACGTGTTTCATCGTTTGTGAAAGTTTTGTCTTTCTGTACTTAGAACAAGAAGTTACTCAGAGGTTAAACGTCTTAAACGAGGCTACAAGTTTCTACGAATCGTATTTACAGGAATGTCCTTCCTGTGTGCTCCATTTCCGGTAGCGTACTCTATTGGAATGTAGTTATACATTATTTAAATCGCGACTCGAGAGACAATTATCCGGAAGAATCGGTGATCACGTAAACCGTAAACCATGGGGTGGGCCACTTGACTTTTCATAGAGAGATTACTAGGCGAAAACGGGTAACATAGAAAGAATTCTTACCGCTGAGTTCAATTTTCGTACGGCGCGCCACGTTCTTTAAGCATATTTCAGGCTCAATTTTTAAATAGAGTGTGAGCTCTCCTTGCGACTCGAATTACAAGGAAAGTTAATTTTGGTTTAGTTGTCTCTAACAGTGCGGGAAAGCAGCGTTGAGGTCGAATGAAGAATTCAAGTAATTTGCAGTTCTCGGACAGAGCGATACCAAGCGGTTTGCCGTTTTTCTCATTTTTGGGTAGGACGGCTATGAAAAAACAAATTTTATTAAAACGCACGTGCTTAGGTAATGTTGTTCAGTTCACTTTTAATCTTTTTTCGCATCATTGGCGCAACTGATATAAGCAGGACCGTGAAGCAAAAGGAGTTCTCTGGATGAAATGAGTTCCTAAGAACTAACATGGCAAACACATAAGTGTATCGCAACTTTATTACTTAAGCTTTATTACTATATCACTTTGGAGGCTGCTGTTGCGGACCCGGAGCGGAGGGGGGAGGAAGTTGGATGATCTTGATGGTGTTAATAAATTTTACCCGGCCCCCTCCCTCCCCTCCCACCCCACCCCATATGGCTCTGCAGTGTTCTAATGATCTCCTTTCATTGGCTATAATTTTCGTGGTCTCCCTTCCCATGGTGGTTCCGTGCAAATATCAGTACTAAAAGTCTGTGCAAGTAATTGCCCTAAAT